AGCCACCCTTTGAAATTTTCTGTTCAGCTCTTTTACTTCATTATTTCTTCCATTTGCTTTAGCTACTCTACGTTCAAGAGTAGCTTTCAGAGTCTCTTCTGACATCCGTTTTGGTCTTTTCTTTTTTTCCTGTCTTTTTAATGACCTTTTGCTTTCTTCATGTATGATGTCCTTGATGTCATTCCACAAATTGTCTGGTCTTCTGTCATTGGCGTTCAATGCATGAAATCTGTTCCTGAGATGGTCTCTAAATTCAGGTGAGATATATTCAGGGTTGTACTTTAGCTTGCATGGACTTGTTCTAATTTCCTTCAGCTTCAGCTTGAACTTGCATATGAGCAATTGATGGTCTGTTCTGCAGTCGGCCCCTGGCCTTGTTCTGACTGATGATATTGAGCTTTTCCATCGTCTCTTTCCACAGATGTAGTCAATGTGATTCCTGTGTATTCTGTCTGGTGAGGTCCATGTATATAGTCGCCATTTATGTTGTTGAAAAAATGTATTTGCAACGGAGAAGTCATTGGTCTTTCAGAATTCTGTCGTGCGATTTCTGGCATCGTTTCTATCACCAAGGCCATATTTTCCAACTACGGATCCTTGTTCTTTTTTTCCAACTTTCACATTTCTGATCACCAGTAATTATCAGTGCATCCTGATTTCATGTTACATCAATTTCAGACTGCAGAAGTTGGTAAAAATCTTCACTTTCTTCATCTTTGGCCTTAGTGGTTGGTGCGTAAATGTGAGTTAAAAGTCACATTAACTTGTCTTCCTTGTAGGTGTATAGATATTATTCTATCACTAACAGCATTGTACTTCAGGATAGATCTTGAAATGTTCTTTTTGACCTTAAATTTGTCATTCGCAGCAGAGTAGACTATATGATTTTCTGATTCAGAATGGCCAATACCAGTCCATTTCAGCTCACTAATGCCTAGGATATCAATATTTATGCATTCCATTTCATTTTTGATATTTCCAGTTTTCCTGGATTCATATTTCATACATTCCACATTCCTATTATTAATGGATGTTTGCAGCTGTTTCTTCTCATTTTGAGTCGTGCCACATCAGCAAATGAAGGTTCTGAAAGCTTGACTCCATCCACTTCATTAAGGTCGACTCTACTTTGAGGAGGCACCTCTTTCCCAGTCATCTCTTGAGTGCCTTCCAGCCTAAGGGGCTCGTCATCCAGCACTGTATCAGACAGTGTTTCACCGCTATTCATAAGGTTTCCACTGGCTAATTTTTTTCAGAAGTAGACCGCCAGGTCCTTCTTCCTAGTCTGTCTTAGTCTGGAAGCTGTGCTGAAACCTGTCCACCGTGGGTGACCCTGCTGGTATTTGAATACCAGTGGCATAGCTTCCAGCATGACAGCAACACACAAGCCCCCACAGTACGACAAACTGACAATGTTTTGCATCTTTTAAAAAATTTACAAAAATAGTTCTCTATTGTATTTAATTTTTTAGACTTCTGTTTTCCCTTAATGTATGTTTTTGATAGTTAGCAGTATTGACAAATATAATCCATTCATTTTAATTGCAATTTTAATTCTAGTTGCAGGATTCCACTGTGTAAATAAACTAGTTTTGTCTTGCTTATTTTACATTGAACTTTATGCAACTTACATTCTCCTATTGCCGTTTAAGCCCATTTTATCACACATTATCCATTTACTACTGGTGATGGCAATTCTGGTCACAGTTCTCAGTCTAAAACTGTATTTTTGGGCATGATATCTGATCCAGAACAAATAAATAATGTATACTGGGCAGAGAAAAATTTTATTAATTTTATTTCTGATTCTTCTGTTTGAGAGAGTAAACTTGTTAAAATCTGTTGTGTACCTTAGTGTAATGTACTAGATTGTAAATTCCTAAAAATCAGGGACTAGGTCTTTCTCAGCTCCATGTCTCTTAGTTTTCTTTACAGTGTTCTGAACAGAGTAGATATTCAATAAATGTTTGTGACGTTGAATATTTTTGCTTTCAAAGCTCTTATAACCCTTCATATGTATGAAAAGTTGATGACCAGCAAGCTTCAAAACTGGACTTTTAGGTTCTCAGTACATTTAAACTCCCGTTTTACCATTTAGTTCAAGATAAACAAATAAAAGCATTTTAAAAAGCAAGGTGTACAGCAATAGTTTGTAGAATATGTTACCAATTGCATAATATATATTATGTGTATTTATATATGCTTAGTATAATCTGTGGAAGTATATGTAAAAAAAAAGTAGAACTGTTAGCTTCCAGGGAGAAGATATATATTGCTAGGGAACACAGATGAGAAGATTTTGCTGTATAGTCTCTGTGATTTTTCAATTTTAAACCTGTTTAAACCTGAGTAGATGTGAATGTACTATCTAATTTTAAAAAAAATAGTTAAATTAAAATTATTTTTTAAAATAGTCCTCCTCTTTAAAGGCATTTTACCATGATTTGCTTTTTTTTTTTTTTAAGCAATAAATTCCTCCCTCCACCCAGCTCCAGGTAACCACTAATAAACTTTGGTCTGTATGCATTTGCCTATTCTAGATATTTCATATGAGTGAGAGAATACAGTATTTGTCCTTTGGTGTCTGGCTTATTTCACTTAGCATGATGTTTTCAAGGTTTATCCATGTAGTAGCATGTATCAGAATTTCATTTCTCTTTATGGCTAAATAGTATTTCATCGTATGTATATACCACATTTTGTTTATCCTTTCATCTGTTGATCAAAAAAAAACCCATTGCCATCCAGTCAATTCCAATTCATAGTGACCCTGTAGGACAGAGTAGAACTGCTCCATAGGGTTTCCAAGGAGAGCTGGTCGATTCAAACTGCCGATCTTTTGGTTAGCAGCTGAGATCTTAACCACTGCGCAACCAGGGCTCCGAAATATCTTCATACAGGCTCATTAATAAGAATTTCATTGGGAAGAAGCCCTGAATAAGTAAAGCACTACGGAAGAAGAAGAATAAAGTAGGAGAACTCACACTACCTGACCTCAGAACCTTCTCTACAGCTATGGTAGTCAAAACAGCCTGGTACTGGTACAATGACAAGATACATTGACCAGTGGAACAGAATTGAGAGCCCGAATATAAATCCATCCATCTACGGTCACCTGATCTTCGACAAGGGCCCAAAGTCCACCAAATGGGGAAAAGACAGTGTTTTGAACAAATGGTGCTGGCAAAACTGGATGTCCATCTGCAAAAAAATGAAACAGGACCCAAACCTCACACCATATACAAAAACTAATTCAAAATGGATCAAAGACCTAAATATAAAGCCAAAAACTATAAAGTTCA